CCTGGCAGCCTGCTGGTGCCGACAGGCTGGCTCACACGGAGCAGGGCTGGCCTGCTACACACCTGGCCTCCCTCGTGGGCATCTGTATACGCTCGGGGACATGGAGACACTCGGGGTTCAAGCTTTACTTGAGCTGTCAAACACAACTAAGGACGCTGAGGAGGGGGGAACCCGGGGGTCCTCTGCGCCCGCACCCGCACCCACGCTCTGCCTGCAGTCTGAGCTCTCCCACCACTGGCCTGCCTCTGGAGCCCTCCAGCTCTTCTTTCTGCTGGTGGTGCGCTCTTCACCTCTCCTCTGTGACAAGGCCCTGACCTCCCCGAGGTCTAGGGCACAGAGGGTGCTGACAGCATGCTGGTCTCAGAGAGGGCGAGGACTCGGCCGTGACCCTCGCTGCTTCCCTGTAGGCAGGTGCGCCCCTCCCTGCGTCCAAGATCCCCGGCCGGTCTCCCATGTCCAGTTTGTCTCAGACACACACACCCCATCTTGACATAGGCTTCTTTGGGCTAATTCTGTTTGGATCTGCTCCAATAGGTTCTTCCACCAACTCTGGGGAATGTCGAGGCACCTTCCCTTGAGCACATGTGCAAACGGCCCGGCCCTCCTCTTTCCGGAAGTCCAACGACACCCCTGCCCTCTCCCGCTGCAGTCCACTGCTCTGTCCTCCTTGTGGCTGGCCCCCGGTGTCCCAGTGGGGGAGGCCCACCAGTCCACCTCCGATTTCACAGGACCCTGTTCTGTCTCCTCCGTCCTGTTTCACACATTCACTGGTTTTTATTATTGTTGCATTTTTAATCTAAAATTTTCACTTTCCTATCTTCTGCTATTTTAGGAACTGTGCTTCCATCTCTCTCAAGCATAACTTCAATTGCTTATTGAGGCTGCCCCTTCCTAGCACTTTGGTTAGAGAAAAGAGGGTTTTCTTGGGCTTCTTTCTTCTTCCTTTTTTTTTTTTTTGCCTGCTCCTACTGGCGCCCCCAGGAGGTCAGCTTCTCCAGAGCCGATTTCAGGGTATACGTGGCCACAGGAAACCCAGGGCCGTATTCCCAAGCGTTCCTCCGGTGCCCAGGAGCCTCGCTGGTCCCCATCCACCTCCGCCTCTCAGCTTTCTCCAGCTGCTTTACACGCAATGTCCATGGGGTTAGCTGTGTGGTGCTTAGCAAGAGGGACAGAGAGAGGTATTTCTACTTCCTGTCTGAACCTGCCACTCATCTCCTTGCTTCCAAGAACAAAGAGTATCACGTATAGATGTCTGCCTGAGGGGTGGCCGGCAGTCTTCCCAGCTTGGGAGATGTTAGCACACTCTGCTCTTCGGGCTCAGGTTAGGGTTCTAACATTGCCCTTGCTTCAGCCGGGGGCCCACTCCGACTGAGGGTGACAGCCCATGGGACCGCTCACTGCCCTGCGAGGGTGCCCGCAGCTCTGGGCTCCCCTGTGGCCACTGCCTCTGTGCTTTCCATATAGGCCCCTTCGGCAGGCAGGACCGGGAGGTGGGACTGATGCAGTCTGATCGCACTTTTGCGCACTAAAATCACTTCCAGAGAAAAATTAGCCAAAGCTCTCCTCTGCCCACGACGGCCACACCCTCGGAACCGAGTCTGCTCCAACAGCTCTGCCCACCCCTGCTGCCTCCTGCAGTGTGAACTGTTCCTGCAGGCCGGCTGCAGGGAGCTCCCAAGCGCTAACCAGACGGCCCCTCCTGTAGGAGGGGAAAGAAGCAGGTCAGCTCCAGGCTCTCCGTGGACACTGAGGGACTCCCAGAGTTGCAGGCCCAGGCCAGGAGCAGAGATGAGCGCGGCCACGTCGGACAGGAGGTGCTTCCCTCTGGCTCCACCCATGAGTGAAGAGTCTCCTCTCTGGCCACAAGCCCCCTGGTCCAAGCAGCTCTGATCCAGCCATGCCCAAACTGCAGATGGTGTCACGGGCTCCTGCTACCCCTCTAGCATGAGCTGAGTACCCTTGGTGGCCAGGCACACTGTCCTCAGGGCTGGAGGGGTGGCCAGGACACATCCAGGCCCCCATGGTGTGCCACAGGCTGAAGAAACAAAGAGGAAGACCGTCTGTCGCTGAGTGGGAAGCAAGGAACACACAGTCCTAACAGTGTGGTCAGGCACCACGGCGGCCATCTTCCAGGGAAGCAAGCGGAGGCTCAGAGGGGCCGAGAGACCTGCCCAGGGTCACACAGCTAGTGTGGAGAGGTGGTGTCAGACTCCCAAACTCGCATTCCAACCATGTTCTGTTCCCAAAAGCAGCACTTAGAGCAAGCTCTCCCCACAGCTCGCCATGACTTAACCGTCGCAGGGAAGGCGGCAGTGAGCACGTGACGGAGGAGCTCGTGTGGAGGTCCCTGTGCCATGGCTTAGCGTGTAGGCCCATTCCCCAAATGTTCACTGTTTTGGAAGTATAGCCATGCAATGGCGCTGGGTCAGGGTGAGGCCTCATGGGCAGTGATAGGACTGTGGCGGCAGCACCTTTAGGACTGCTGCCTGGGAGAGGGAGTGGGCTCCAGTGTTGGGGTCTAGTCTCGGCGTGGGTGGGTTATTTTGACGGAGGCGGCGAAGGTGAATAGAAGACAGAGGCCTCGATGCTTTTATGTACGTCTTATGTTGGACACACCTTAAAGATTGTTTTTTGAGGAGTGACACTTGTTAGGAATTATTGTGTCTTTTTATTGAAAATGTGATATATGTAAGTAAATGGGTGAGGGGCAGTAAAAGATTTACTCTAAGGAACAGGGTATATAAAGTATGGAAGCAATAATTATAAAACATGTTGTTTGTTTTGTTAGCTCAGGTAAAGTTAATTACAGTTTTTAGGATGAGGAAGTCTATTTGTCTGTTGTATTTTTTTTTTGGATTTTGATTATTGGGAAGAGTCTTTTGAAGAGGGGGCTTGCAGGATGTTTGACAACTTCAGTCCCGGGCTAGGGCGATAACGTTGCTGGCTGCAAAGACCTAGATAGAAGTCTTGTCTTGCTAAGTAAAGACACAGTTAATATATGGACTATCTATACATTACAACAATAGAGGATGAGTCTATGATCTTATATGGGAAAGGAAGATGATTTTGTAGTTTTGGAGACAACACAGGATGTTTTATTAGCAGTTTTTCATAGTCAACAGCACATAGATGAGAAACTCTTTGTAGTTGAAAGCTACTTGTTGTTTTAGATAAGAACTCTCAGTTAAAATGGTTAATTTTTTTATGGAGCCCTCAGCTTTGTTTATTTTGTTGTCTCATTTAGGCTTTTTTTTTTAATAAATCTGTGGGTTTTTGTATTTTGTTTGTTGAGTCTGTTAATAGTGAGTTTTTTTGTTTTATCTCTGAGTCTCTGTTATGTGGTGAATGTGCTGACTTTGTTAGTGTGAGTTAATTTTGGCCTGTAGCTTTAATAAGGGGTATGTAAGTAAAACTAATTTTAAACTAACTTAGTCTACATATGTTTTTAATGTTAATTTGGTTTATATTAACTTAATTTATATGTTAATTTTGGCTTAAAAACAGACAGGTGGGGGAGTCTTAAACTTTTTGATCCTTGTGTCAGTCTTAGGGAACCACATTCCTACAAGATCACTAATTGGCTTTATTGCAATGGTTGGGGGTGATGTTTTACCCTTACAGGGTACCGTAATAACAGTAAAACTCACGGCAGAGAAATTGAATACTGGCCAGTTTAAGGACACAAGGGAGGGCTCGTAAACCGGGCCTTGTCTCAATTTTTTCCCAGTCTAGGCCTTGCCTTAAAATGAGAGACAGCATCCTTACCAACTTGTGTTGCCTACATGGCCCCGTCACTCCAGTGTCGTGAGAAGGGCAAGTTCCAGCAAGCACAAGCTGTTCCACAAGGAAGGCGGCTGCTGGGCCTCTCTGCACGCCTGCCAGGCCCTCTGCACACCTGCCTCCTCTGCACGCCTGCCTCCTCTGCACGCCTGCCGGGCCCTCTGCATGCCTGCTGGGCCTCTCTGCACGCCTGCCTCCTCTGCACGCCTGCTGGGCCCTCTGCACACCTGCCTCCTCTGCACACCTGCCGGGTCCTCTGCACACCTGCTGGGCCCTCTGCACACCTGCCTCCTCTGCACACCTGCCGGGTCCTCTGCACACCTGCTGGGCCCTCTGCACACCTGCCTCCTCTGCACACCTGCCGGGTCCTCTGCACACCTGCTGGGCCCTCTGCACACCTGCCTCCTCTGCACCTGCTGGGCCTCTGCACACCTGCCTCCTCTGCATCTGTTGGCATGATGCTGGCTCCACATCTTCGGACCTTCTAGTCACCAGAATTGTGAGCCAAATAAATTGCTGTTCCTTTCAAGTCACCCAGCACCAGGCATTTCTGTCAGTCACACAGCAGCTGACTGAGATACTCTGTTAAGAAGGGGTCTGAGCTGCGGCAGAGGCGAGGGAAGACACGGGACTAGGGAGAGCTGCAGCATGGAATGCAGTAGTGGAGAGATGTTGTAGTGGAACACGGGGTTACCCCGGCCCGACTTCCACCTCTGCGAGTTACAAACTGCTCAGACTCTGCTCCCTTGCAAGGTGACAATGCTCTTGTTCTGGGTAGTGCCTAGGATTCACCAGGATGATGTAGTAACGTGTCATGGCCCCCAGGGAGTGCTGGCAACATGAATGGGACTGCCATCTGAAAACACTGCTCCTAACGAAACAAGGATG